GCGACTTCTTCCTGCCGCCCACCTGACCATCGCTATGTCAGGCATTGAACGATTCTTGCCATCTTCATACCCTCCCGGTCTGTGTTGAAGGTAGCGTTGAGATTGAATGGTGGTGGCTCAGACCGTGTGGTACAGTAAGACCCGGGGATCCTGAGACGTGTGACAATGAAAAGGACACTTCTTGCCTCTGCCTCGGTTTCCCCATTTCCAGCAGTGGTCATGAGTCCAGCATTGTGCTCAGCACTTGAAGTACAGAGAAGCATTTAATCCTCCCAGTCCCTGTATCCCAGTAATCCTAGGAAGTAGGAAATGTGGTAGATTGGGAAACCGAAGCTGAGAGAGAGGAAGTCATTTTGGGTTGGGTCCGAGCTGATGGGAACCCAGGACTGGCATGTTAATGAGGGTGGTGGGAGAGGCATGGAATCCAGACCCCCAAAAAAGCAAAATGATGTGTAGGGTGTTAGATGGTATAAGTTCTAATAAAACGAAACAGGAGAAGGTAAGATCAGGAGTGAGGCAAGGTGGGGCACCTGAGTGGCTCAGTCCATTGAGCCCTGTGACTTCAGCTCAGGTCATGATCTCAGGGTTCATGAGTTCCTGCCCCACGTCCGGCTCTGTACTGACAGCCCAGAGCCTGGATCCTGCTTAGGATTCATTCATTCTCTTTCTCTTTCTCTCTCTCAAAAATAAATAATTAAAAAAAAAAGGAGTGAGGACAGATGAAGGAACAGCAAATCAGATGTAGGAAATAGCTCTGAAAAGGTCCTGAGGTGCAAGACTCATCTGCCACGTTCAAGGCCCAGCAGAGAGGCCAGTGTGTCTGGAGCAGAGAGAGTCAGGTGGAGAGTGTGAGATGATGGCAAACAGGGAGAGGGAGGAGGACAGTTCTTGTGGATCCAAATTAGGACTTTGGCTTTTGTTCTGAGGGAAATGGGAAGCCAAAGGAGGGTTTTGAACTGAGGAGTGAGTTAATAAAGATCCCCCCCAAATTCCAAAAAAAAAAAAAAAAAAAAAAAAAAAATCATGAGTGGAAGAGTAAAATACAATGGCCTGACTACAGATGATGGTGGGGGCAGGGGGGCAGGCAGGGTCATTGGAGGCCTGTGAACACCAGGCCAAAGAGTTCAGACTCAGTCCTGGGGAACTATGGAGTGGTGGACTATTCTATGCAGGGGAGGATCAGGGTGGGTTTGGTTTTCCAAAGAGTCTCCTGGGCACGTTGTGCAGGGTAGGTCAGAGGAGGAGATTGAGGCTGGGAGCCTGGGGGAAGGGAGAGAACCAGGCTAGGGAGAGAGCAGAGAGATACTCAGGAGGCCAAGTGGACAGACCATGGGGTTGGTGAGCTGGGGTGGAAGAGGATGAGAGGTGTCTATTATGAGGCCCAGTGAAGGACTGGGGGAGTGGGGCTACCCCAGAGATGGGGGCCCAGGAAAAGTGGTAAAGTTTAGAGAGACACTAAACTTTGTGGACCCAGTAGATGGTAGGGGCCTAGGGGATGTCCAGGGGGAGGTATCCAGGAGACCATGGGATCCCAAGGTCTGAGGTTCAGGAGAGAAGCAGGGCCTAGGGAAAGAGATGTGGGTATGTATGATTTATACCTGGGCTCTTGTCCAGGGCTCTCTGTTAGAATCTCAGCTGCCTGCAGCCCTTCACCCCCACCCTGCCTCTCCTCCGTGCTGTTGGGAATCCCTGCCTCTTTCATCCCAGGGCTGGCAAAGCATGTCCCCAAGCGCCCTTCCAGGCTTTGAGCCCTGGACCAGAGTGATGCTAGGTACTGGCTGGAACGAGAGCAAACACCCCACAAGGGCGAGAGGAGAATATTTATAACATCATCACCTCTTTAAGTTCTATGATGAGGGGAGGCAAACACACAGGCCAACAGAGCCAGGAATGCAGGAAGGTGGGCCATATCTCATTTCGAGTGGGGCAGGGGGGGAGCCAAAAATGGATATTTTAGGTGCAGTCTCTCAATTATTACATGTTGTCTATTTAGATTCAGTTCAGATTTAAAATAACACCACTGCCTCAGCCAAACAGACCACATCTGGGAGCTAGATTCTGCACCCAGTTTGAGTCTCTGCCTTATAACTTCAGCTGTGGAGTGCCTGAGTGCAAATCCTCAGTCCTGCAATTTCCTAGCCTAACTTCTCTGTGCCTCAGTTTCATCATCCATAAGATGGGGATAATCCTATCTACCTGCCAGAGTTATTGTGAGAATTTAATGGGTTAATACGTGTAATGTGCTTGGAACAATTCTTGGCACATAATAAGTACTCTGTACATCTTATTGTAATTGCATCTTGCTAAGAGATTCATATATAACATAGGTTTGTTTAAAAAAAATTTAACATTTTATTTATTTTTGAGAGACAGACAGAGCACAAGTGGTGGAGGGGCAGAGAAAGAGAGGGAGACACAGGATCTGAAGCAGTCTCCAGGCTCTGAGCTGTAAGCATTGAGCCCGACACGGGGCTTGAACTCAGGAACGGGGAGATCATGAGCTGAGCCCAAGTTGGACACTTAACCAACTGAGCCACCCAGGTGCCCCAACATAGGTTTATTTAAACCTCAAACGGTCCTTGCAGATAGGTATTATTGGGAGACCTATTTTCAAGTTGAGGAAACAGGCTCAGTGAGGTAAGGTGACTTTGGTCACACATGAGCACGTGGGACAACCCTGG